CCTGCCGATATTGTACAAAAGATATTATTGAGAATCAACAACATCAAGTCATCAGACACTTTAGCAGCATTTGATCATGATGGTACTGTGAATAACACAAGAAAATTATAAGGAGGTCTTGAAAGAACATTGCAGTGGTTGGTTTGCTTATTAACTTTTAACAATAAAAACTCCTAGAGTAAAATACTCAAGTAATTTAGCTTGATTACACCATGATTAGTTGAATTATCTTTTTGAAATCCAAATTTTTACTGTACATCAAACTGTTTAAAATTAAATAGTTGTATAGTCTGTTATGCATAATTTATTCCGATGATTTTGAGAAGCAGGTTAAAAAGGTAATAGGTCTGTAGTTTTTTATTTTAGTTTCGTCATCAGATTTAAAAATGAAAATGATTATGGCAACTTTAAGCTTTTTCTGCATAACAACTAGTTTTAATGAAAGATCAAAAGTATGAAATAATGACTGTTCAATGATATGGAAGACTAACTTTACATCATTTAGACTAATTTTGTCAATGCCCGCACTTCTATTACTTTTAAGACTGTTATAGTTTTCCTTATCTTGCGTAGATTTTAATTAGATTCTTTCATAATAGAATTACATGATTTAATTTAAGATTCAATCGTTGTACTCTTACGAAATTTAAAAACATTTGAATGTATAAAACTTTTAAAAAAGCTTGTAAATACCTACTTTATTATTTCAAAATTAAACTTTTAAATGATCAAAGTTTAAATATTTTTGAAAAAGAAGAACGTTTTTAAAATATAATTTGAGAGTAAAGTTAATTTTTATTTAGTACTTAAGAGTTATTTTTGATGGTATATCAGCAATAGAAAATTTTCAGTTTTAATAACAGTTGTGCAAATTTAATATTTAATGAATGAACTTTTGATCTTTACACTGCTCGAGTCCAGGAGTTTTAGTTGGCACTTCACACAATTTTACTATTAGGATTATGACTTGTTATATTTAATACTATAGTATGCGGATAATAAAGAAGTTTTTAGAATGATTTCGTTTTTTAAATATGAATAGCTGGTTCCCTAGTTATGACAATTTATGTTGGGCTCAATAACGCCTATTTTGCGTCAAGATTTGTTGAGTTTTCCTTAATAATATATGGCACTAAATTTTGATAATAAACTCATTTTTCAAATGCTATTAATGAGAAGGAGTTTCGTTAAAATACTTATTCTGTATTAATTTTCTTGTTTGTTTGTTTTTAACTAAAGAATCAAGGCATTTATTTCTACAAATAATCACTTTTATATTAGGGGCCCCTAGATAAGGATTCCACGGCTCGTTTGCCCCATTCGGGGCATTTGGATCAAAAATTAAAAAAGCTTTGTTAAAACCGTAAAAATTAATTTTAGATAAAGAAATAGAGTTTTTTTTAAACTGTCAGAGTAAAAAAATTCATTTACATTTATAAAAATTAAGAAAATGCTCAAAAACTTTAGGGTTTTTTTCCCCCCTTCAGGGCAATTGGACCAAGAGTAATTAAAGTTTTGTAAATACAATAAAAAATAACCTTTAGGTAAAAAAAAGGCTTCTTCAAACAGTCAGAACAAGCAAATTTATTTATATTTATAAATATTAGGTAAAAATGTAAAAATACAGGAAGCCCGTTTTTCCCATTTTGGGGAAAATTAGGCCAACAGTACAAAATGTTCTGTTAAAATTGAAAAAAATAACTTAGATTAAAGAAAAAGAGCTTTTTTAAACTGTCAAAGTAAAAAAATTTATTCACATTTATAAATATCACGAAAATATGTAAAAATCTTAAGACTTGTTTTAACCATTCAGAGCAATTGAGTCAAAAACAATCAAAGCTTTCTACAAACAAGAAAAATTAATAATAGTTAAAAAATAAGTTTTTTTAAACTGCCAGAATGTACAAGTATACTTTATATATAAATATTAGGAAAATATGTAAAAATACTTAGAGCCTGTTTTACCATTTTTGGACATATTGGGCCAAGAGTGCTAAAAGCTCTGTTAAAACTGTGTAAAATAACTTTAGTTAAAGAAAAATATATTTTTCAAACTTTCAGAATGAACAAGTTCATTTACATTTATAATTATCAAAAATATGTGTAAAAAGATCAGGTCTAATTCCCCGATTTGAGGCGCTTGGGTCTGAAGTAATAAAGGCTCTGTAAATACAATAAAAAAAAACTTCAGTTAAAGAACAAGTGGTTTTTCATTTTGTCAGAGTAAACAAGTTTATGCGCATTTATAAAAAACTCAAAATGTATGAAAAATTCCCAGTGCTTGTTTGCCCCATTTGGGGTGATTTGGTCAAGGGCAATGAAACTTTTGTAAAAACCAAAAAAAATGAACTTTAGGAGAAACTAAAAGAAGAGCTTTATTGTATTGTAAGAGGAATCAAATTCGTTGTTTATAATAAAAATCCAAACTTTCTAGAAAAAAAAATATTTTTAAACCATAGAAGTATAATGCCTTGCTTTGCCCAAACACTGAGTGAAACACTCCATATACTTTCTTCTGGGACATTTTCAAACTAAAAACTTGAGAGAGAATTAGTAGTTTTTCTTTTCAATTTAAAATGTGTTGGAAATTGCATTGCATTGAAAAAAGTTATTACTCTGATTGTTTCCGGTTTCCTGATGACGATATTGTAGATACTTAACTCTATTTTTAGCAACAGTTTTTTCCAGGACGATAATCACACTACATCCCAGTTTTTATCTATATTCCAAATGTTTGGCGGTTTCTAAAGTAGGTTGTTTTCCGTTAACGCGTTTTTAAGAATGAAAAAATATTTTGACATTTTAAAAACAATCATACACTGATATCTAATAGCTGCTGTACCTACTGGTTGACTTCAAATTAAATCTTTGTGCCTTTTGCAAATCCAAGTCCACCATTTTTCTGTAGGAGTTCCATTCTTGAATGCTTTTTATGCTTTAAATCAAAATATTCAGCATATTTTAAAATTCGCAGTCGACCAAATCTGATTTCTAAAATTTCATTATTATATGCAAAATCAACTAATTTTTTCTCATCTAAAATAGTTGGATGACTAGGTTTGGCTTCCATTACTCCAGAAATTCAAATCTGTAATAAACATCCTAAAATGTCAAAAACTTTATTTGCTGCTTGCTGTAAATCTTCATTTTTAACAGCTTTAATTGCTGATATCATCAATTCATCATTCTATAAACGGTGTTTTCTGTGTTTCGTGCTCTGTTTTTAAATTTTTGTTGGACTCTCTGTTTTTTTTAGTTTTATTATTTTATTTTTTTTCATTGTAAAGTAAAGTGCTAAATAACACATAGAAAAATTAATTATAAAATGGCCATGACTGTCTAAAATTAAATGTCTATGTTTCTATGATTATATCATATACATTTGCTCTCTCTCTCACTCTCTCTCTCTCACTTCCTCAAAAAAAAAAAAAAAAAATATATATATATATATATATATATATATATATATATATATATATATATATATATATATATATATATATATATATATATATATATATATATATATATATATATATATATATATACATATATCACAGTTTCAACAGGATTATATCATAATATTAATAGCAATTTAAAAGATTTACAAAAGCAAAAAAATGTTGTTCGAATATAATCAGGAAAACTAATCATCGAAAATACCAATCATCAAGTTTACAGAATATAATATTTATCAAATTTTTAAAAAGTGTTCTTAAAACAGTTAACGAGTCAATAAGTACTTCAAACAGAACTTTTATAAATTATAAAGTCTAAATATTGTATTTTTTTTTTAAAAAAAAAATATTTAATACAACCCTGCAATAAAATTTTTTTTGAGAGTTGCCCAGAATAAGGACGCAGTCAATGTATCCTAAATAAGTAGTTATGTAAGTTGAACGGAGTATTATAATGGCGTCAAGAAAAATATTGAAAAAATAATAAAAAGTATTTTTTTAAAATTGTTATGTCCTGATATAAAAAACTAAGTAAAATAAAAACGAGTATCAAATATTTTAATTTTAAAGACTCAATAATCTTTTTTGATGTGCTAGAACCCAAAAAAAGCAATTTAAAACAATATATGTATCAAGAAAACAACTTGAAAAATCTTCTAGCTTCTTTTTTAAGAATCTTTAAAAAATAATCTCCATAGATCAACATTTTTTTTAATTTTTGCAATTGAAATGTAATTGGCATTTGGGCTTGAAATTGGGTACCATGAAAAAAAGTTAAATTCCCTTATTTTTATATTCTAAACTTATCACACGGAAAAAGTCACGTGACTAAAATGCCTAGCTATAGATTGAATTTCAAGACGCGATATTTTTTTTAAGATTATATTAATATGTACATGTAGAAACTGGAATGTGTTAAAAATAAAATCAAAAGCATTCCTTCTTAGTCCAAAATTGATATCCTCCAAAATCCAAAAAATTGCGTTTAAAAACAATATTAGTTTTATTGTTTAAGCTTATGAAAGCTTAAGAAACGCAACAACTTTTTTTAAATATTTACAATCACCTAATTATATTGACCATTGCATTTAAAAGGATTACTAAATTAAACCATAGCTAACATTTTAATAATAATATTTTTAACGCTAAAGTATTTTATGTCAAGTAACGTTATTTGTAATGTTAAACTAAGTGGCCACAGGGCCAAATAAAGACGTTTTTTTTTACGTCTGGGCCACTGGGAAGATATCAAATTAATGATTATTTATTAAAACTTTTAAATAAAGTTTAGTTAAAACTTCTAAATGTTTAAACTGTAACTAAAACTTGCAAAAACTTAAAGTTATTTTATTTCTGTTTTACTGATAGTTATGACAACCTACACATATAAGCATGTTTAATTAACTATATATATCGTATATATATATATATATATATATATATATATATATATATATATATATATATATATATATATATATATATATATATATATATATATATTATTTAAAGATTTTAAATTTGACTTAATAAAACTCTTACTTATTTTGCAATAATCATACTTGCTACATTGTGGTTCACCACATTCAATTTCTTCTTTAATATATTTTGCACAGAAACAAGAAATATCAAAAACAACCGTATCGAAATTTGAATTATTTGCACAAGTAATTACACAATAAGATATTGATAAAGTAAATGAAAACTGTATGATTGATGATGATTGATGCATGCACAATTGGTAATCAACTAAACAAAAAATGACATCATACAAACTCGCAGTTAATATGTTAATAACTTTTAATATGTTTTGAATTTTTAGACATTTTTTCAAAATTAGTATAAAAAATTGTTTCAGTGAAATTAAAAAATATATTTTCTTCCTTAATTTATGTCATAAAAGAAATAAAGAAAAAAAGGTGAACATTCATTACAGTGTTTTAAACAATGATTTCAAACAATTTCAAAAAAGAAAAGGAAAAAATATATAAATATACTTTAAAGACCAAATAGATAAACTTAGTTTTATTATATTGTTCATCTATTAATAAAAATTATTTATGCAAATAAAAAAGTCAAACAAAAAATACTCAAAAATAAATTCAGACCGAACTATATCTTATTAACAATAGTTAAAAAAAGTAAATTCAAGTATAATAATAATAACAAATATTATAATAATAGTTAAAAGTTTATTATTGTTTTTTTATTAATAATAAGTGAATGATTCAACCAGATGACAGGACATTGACTAAAATGCACATAACATAGACATAGAACATACATTAAAAAGCAAACATAAAAAAAATCATATTTTACAGCAAATAATACAAAAAAAAAAGAAATAAATAAACTAGCTAAAAATAGACACATTTTGTAGTAATAGCATAAAAAAAAAGAGTATGTTTTAACAATAAAATATAATAATGTAAAGAAATTAGAATGAAGTACTTTTCGGAACTTTAGGTTTACTTATTTTAAAATAATAGCGTTTGTAATAGTAGATTTTTAAACTAATATAAAAACCTTCCTGGTTTATCAGAGGGTCTCACGGTTTAACAAAAATAAATTAAGATTCCCACAGCCTCACAGTTGATCTTAAAGTTTTTATTTAAATTTATTAAAAAAAGTTCCAAATTGTTTTATTTATTTAATACACATATTTTAGCTGGTAATAAAGTACATATAAATATGAAATGGTGATATCCTTCGTTTGAATAATAATAAACGATTATATACTTGAAATGCATATATACTGGCCCCAAAAAATATTAATGATAACAATTAATTACTGAAATTTTTGACAAAAAACAATTACAATTATTTATAACAAAAATATTAATGCTTATAATGTTAAATAAGCAAGTGTATTTAACAAACTCTTTATTAGCCAGTTACATAATATTTGCTAATAATATTTTCATGTAATTGTTTTATAAATACTTTTACTAATAAAGATAGCACGATGGAAAGGAAGGAAGACCATTCGACATAGTGGCTATTCTATGCAAAATAAATTTAGCTTTAAGTGGATCATATTTTTTTCTTAGGTTCTTTTTGAATTTAATGGAAATTCTTACGTATGCAGATGGTTCCATTAACTCGTCAGGTTTTATTATCAACCTGGACGTAGTTGTGTACCATTTAACTAACATTAAACTCAGGAAATCTTTAAAGCAAAAGATTAACTCTCCTCCTAAACTGCGAGTTTCCAGCATTGTATTATTTTAAAAATTGTTTCTATATATATATATATATATATATATATATATATATATATATATATATATATATATATATATATATATATATATATATATATATATATATATATATATATATATATATATATATATACATATATATATATATATATATATATATATATATATATATATATATATAATATATATATATATATATATATATATATATATATATATATATATATATATATATTATATATATATATAAATATATATATATATATATATATATATAAATATATATATATATATATATATATATATATATATATATATATATATATATATATATATATATATATATATATCTATATATATATATATATATATAAGGATGGCTCTTAAAACAAATTTTGGAAAAAAATTTGCTTCCACCTCCTAAATGTGTTCTATTTCATACAAAAAACTTGGACTACATTTTTTATTTGAATACAAAATTTTTTATGGGGTTCCTCAAGACCCTTGAATGTTTAATGGTTCTCGAATACTTTATAAAAAAATGTTTGTTAAAATCAACCTGATATCAAATGAAGCAAAATGTCAACTTGATGCAAAAATAAAGCGAAATTATATACAAGTTTGAAAAATGATATTTATTTAAAAAAAAATAGGTTATTTTTGATTTTATCACAAAAAAAATTTTCTTTTTTTTACAAAAATCAAAAAATAAGAATTCTTTATGTATTTTATATTATTTTTGAATAATAAAATAAAAGTTTTTTCGAAATTAGTATTATTTTTGAAGTTTTTATATAATTTCGCTTTATTTGAATACCAAGTTGAAACCTTTTTGGAAAATATTAGGCACCTATTAAAAACTCAAGGGTCTTGAGGGACCCCTGAAAACATATTTTATTCAAAAAATATGTAAGCCTAGTGTTTTTGTATAATATAGAACATATATAGGTTATTTTTATTATACCTGGTTCATTTTAATATGCGCCTTTATTCATTCTTATATTTTTTAAAGTTCTTAAACATTTTCTGGTCACGCTTATCAACGCGCTCTTTAAAACAACAGTTTATGGGAAAAACATTGTGACTACTATGCTAGACTTTATATATATATATATATATATATATATATATATATATATATATATATATATATATATATATATATATATATATATATATATATATATATATATATATGTATATATATATATATATATATATATATATATATATATATATATATATATATATATATATATATGTATATATATGTATATATATATATATATATATATATATATATATATATATATATATATATATATATATATATATATATATATATATATATATATATATATATATATATATATATATATATATATATATATATCCATATGTAAATATATATATATATATATATATATATATATATATATATATATATATATATATATATATATATATATATATATATATATATATATATATATATATATATATATATATATATATATATATATATATATAAATTAATTTCATACATCAGATAATACGAATTCTCTCAATACTAAATAATTTATTTGAAAAATTTAATGAAATTCGAGAGTCACTGGCATCATCAGCATATAATATAATACAATAACAAAAACTGTGACCATTAAAAATGTTTTTTAGATTTTGACGTAATCTTTATAATGACTTCAATTACCTACGTATGAAAAAAAGGAAGTCCAAAAATTTGTTTTAAAATATTGTCCGTTGTCCAAATTCATACCACCGTACGTTGGAGAACATTGATGTTTTTGTATTTCTAAGGTCTTACGTACTTTTCTTTCAAATTTTTTATCCTCAACCTAAAGTATTATTACTTTATTCTATTTAACTTCGTCATTACAATTTACTTTATGCAAAGCTAATGCTGTCTGGTTTAACTTGCCTTCAGTCAAAAAATTTCGGTGTTGTTGAACCCTTGTTCGTATTTGATGTTTTGTTTCACCAACATATACTTTAGAGCATTAGCACTTAATTAAATAGGTTCTAGGAGTGCTGTTGCGTGGTAATTTAGACATAATTTTAGACATTAATTGCGTTTTTAGGTTAGCATTTAATTTAAAAACAGTTCTGTAACCAGCTTTTCTGAATATTTTTCTACGTCTGGGAGATATTATTAGTATCCAAGGTAAAGAGATTGTGGGAAGGTTATTAAAGTTTCGTTTTTGTTCGCAAAACGTTTTTGTCGAACTTGATCAGAAATATCTTTAAGCATTTTTTCTTCGTATCTATTTTCGGTAAACATTTGAGTTAAAAAATCTAATTAACGATTAATTAAAAAGTTCAAAATACTTCAAAGTGAATTCAACTACAATAAAAGTCATAAGAAATTAACGAAATACACTAAAAAGGTGATTTTAAATCTTTGTGATACCAGGATACCTGAAAATCAAATTGATCTTCTAAATCTTGGTTGACACTTTGTACCTTCCTTGAGAACTATACCTTACATAGACATTATTACAACAACTTAATCGTCTGCCTTAAAACTCAATTGAGTTAAAGAAATTAAAAAAGCGCAAAACCTAAGGAAAAATGTACTGAGAGAACTTAAAATGAACAAAACAATTAATCATAATCTAACGAGAGATCAAAAAAAAGCATTTAAAGAAATTATTCAAGACAAGAAAATTGATATTTATCTATTTGATAAAGGAATAGGATTCGTAAGAATAGAACATGATAAAGCAATTTAAAAAATTAGAGAACAGATTGGTCCAACAAAAACTATTAGTATTGATCCCACTCAAAGTTATGCAGGTAAAATAAAGTCTTTCCTTTCAAAACTTAACAAAAAGCAACGTTTTTCTAATGATGAATATGAAAGCGTATACCCAAGTGATCCTGTCCCACCACGTTTGTATGGGCTAATTAAAGCTCATAAACAAGAAAAATCTTATCCGATGGGAGTAGTTGTATCAACTATTGGAACACTTGTTATGGAATTTCGAATTACTTGGTTAAAAGAATACAACCGGTCTTGAAAATCCTATTAGGTTATGAAAATCCTATTAAATGAAAATCCCATTAGATTAAAAAATTCAAAAGACTTTATTAAAAAGACTAAGTCGTTGTTAATTGACAAAGATGAAATACAGGTACCCTTTGATTTTGTACACTTATACCCATCAATACCATTAAAAGAAGCAACTTTAATACCTTTGGATCAATTAAATAAAAGCGTTTCTTACAAAACTTAACTAAACTTACTTTAACTGAAACAAAACAACTAATTGAACTTTGTTTGTTTCGTTGTTGTTTCTTGTGGTATAGTGAGATTCATGAGTTAGAGAATTCGGCCCAATTGGATTGTCTTTTATGGTTGATTTGGTTGAATCTTTTTTACGATACGATGAGAAAAAGGCTATAAAAATGGCAACGACAATGATTCCTTTAATTGATATTAAATTCTTTCGTAGATATGTAGACGATAGCCATGCAAGGTTTTCTAACTTAAATCAAATAGAACAGTTCCAAACAATTCTTAGCAGACAACATCCTTCTATAAAATATACTATTGAGGTTGAAAACAAAAACAAGACACTTAACTTTTTGGATATATATATGTTATTACTAATACACACGGAAAATATGAGTTCAAGGTTTTCAGGAAAGATGCAATAACAAATATCTAAATCAAAACTCATTCTAATCATGATCTCATAATTTTAAAAGCAATATGCAAAAGATACATACACAGAGCATACTCAATATGCAGTGAAAAACATATGAAAGATTAGATAAATTTTTAAATCAAATGTTTACTGAAAATAAATACGATGAAAAAATGCTTAAAGATATTTCTGATCAGTTTGGAAAAAACACGTTTTGCGAACAAAAACTAAATTCCATCAAACTCTCATAACCTTCCTACAATCTCTTTACCATGGAAACCAATAATATCTCCCAGACTTAGAAAAATATTCAGAAAAGCTGGTTACAGAACTGTTTTTAAATCAAATGGCAACCTAAGAACGCTATTAACGTCTAAAAATAAGTCTAAATTACCACGCAACAGCACCCCAGGAACCTATTTAAATAAATACAAATGCTCTAAAGTATATGTTTGTGAAACAAAACTTCAAATACAAACAAGGCTTCGACAACACCGAAAATTTTTGACTGAAGGCATGTGAAACCATTCTGAATTAGCTTTGCATATAATAAATTGTAATGAGGACATTAAATGAAATAAAGTAATAACAAATAAGATTGAGGATAACAAATTTAAAAGAAAAGTCCGTGAGGCCTTAGAGATATAAAAAATTCAATGTTCTCCAACGTACGGTGGTATGAATTTCGACAATGGACAATATTTAAAAACCAATTTTTGGACTTCATTTATTTCAAACTTAGGTAATAGAAGCCATCATAAAAGCGACGTCAAACTTTGAAATTTTTTTTTTAATAATTTTTTTTGTTTTTATTTAACGGTCACAATTTGTGTAATTTCATTGTATTATATGCAGATGATGCCGGTGCCTTTAATCCGGCGTAACTTTCAAATAAATTATTTAGTATTCAGACAGAATTCGTACTATCTGATGTTTAAAATTAGTTTCATTTTTTAAATCGAGAAAAACATAAAGCTGAAAAAATAGCTGCGTAGTTGTTTTGTGTACTCTCTTGCAATCATATACATGATTGTCGAATCTATCTGTTTAACTGCCAGTTAAACAGATGACATGCAGAAGATGGTACGAAAAATTTGAAACAGGTGATTTGGATCTTTCTGATAAGCCACGTTCTGGGCGACCATCTTTGATAAACCACGATGTTGTTAAGGCAATGTTGGAGCAAGATCCTTTTTTCAAAACATCAGAGATTGCAGAAAAGCTTAATTCAGCTCAGCAAACCATTTCTGACTATATTCGGAAAATGAGATTAGTGTGGTAGTTATCAAGATGGGTGCCACATGAATTAAGTCAGAAAAATTTATATATATATATATATATATATATATATATATATATATATATATATATATATATATATATATATATATATATATATATATATATATATATATATATATTATATATATAAAATTTATATATATATATAAATATATATATATATATATATATATATATATATATATATATATATATATATATATATATATATATATATATATATATATATATATATATATATATATATATATATATATATATATATATGTATATATATATATACATATATATATATATATATATATATATATATATATATATATATATATATATATATATATATATATATATATATATATATATATATATATATATATATATATATATATATATATATATATATATATGTATATATATATACATATATATATATAATTTATATATACATATATACGTAAGTGTATATATATATGAATTGTAAATTTCTATTTGTCAATAATGAGCTTTTGGTTTATTTCTCATCAGAGTATAAGCTTGTGTTAACATGTTAAAACTCACCTTTTAGTTTTTTTTGTTCCAATTTATTCATTTCGCATACAGTTTTAAATATAAAACCATTAGGATTGATTCGATATACTGCAGTTATAGTAAATCCATTATTGTAATGTTCTTGGCAACTTTTTGCAATTTCTGCTGCTAAAAAAAAAATGTATTACAAACTCTTTATTGTTTAAAAAAACATGGTTAAATCCTTTGAGATTTGCATAATCAAAATCAAAGCATTTTTTATCAGGGGTGTACCCTTATGGTCGTTTGGCTTTACGGGACGACTCGTTTACGCTAGTGGCGACTAAAATATAAAAAAAATGCTTGTCAGTAGCCCAGCAGGACGACAAGACAGTGTGATACTTACAAAAGTTTGTTCAGTAAAGTTTTTACAAAAGTGTCTTCAGTATTAAAACCAGATATAGATTTATGAAGATTTTATTCCTCGCCATTAATTAAAAAAAAAATTTCAAAAACATTTCAAGTAATGTATCTTTTAATAACGAGTACACTCCGGTCAGGCTGGCGCGAGCTTGAATCACGTGGGGATTCCTTTACATATTTTGCCGACTGTCTGTCGAAATCTGCCGACTGACTTGTCTAAAGAGGTCAAATTTGCTAACTAAATGAACAAAATATTTATTAATTTTTGTACCAGCCCAAAAAAAAAAAATTAAACTTAATTAAAGAAGCCGAAACGCAATTTAATATTTCGAAGTGCAGCTGTGCGGTGTTTTTAAAGTTTTTGTTACATTTTAAAGAAGGTTTCCTCTCAATTTTTTAAAATGAGTTTTAAAAACACATTTTTTTCAATTCCAAATGCTAATCTGTCTAGTTTTTTAAACATTACAGTGGCATTTTGAATCACGTGAATATCCAGTTGAATCGTTAATAACACTGAATCTACTTTGTTTTTAATCAGTAAAATTATTTTTTATGTGTCAAACTTTAATTATACTTTTAATTTTTTCTTTGTCAAATAGAGTTAACAAAATAAAAAACATTATTAAGATGCGCTAGAAAAATCATTATTAGAATGCAATTGATGATGCACGCGCAAACTCTTTCTTTCTAAAAAAAAAAAATTAAGTATAATGAAAAATGTTTAAAACATTAAAAACATAATGCTTAAAACATTCATCTAAATTACATATGGTACCATTGCGGTACCATATGTAATTTAGTTTACATATGGTATCATTGATTTAATAAATATATTTTTCAAGACCAAATCACATATAGTACCATTGATTTAATAAATATATTTTTCAAGGCTTTTTTAGATCGAAATGCAGGCAAACAATAAAAAATGCAAAGACACTTAATACCAATTCAAAAAAAAAGTGGTATAAAACCTCATCAGATTCTAGTTAGTGTAGTTAAAAGCTAGTTGGTGTAGTTAAAAAAAAGAAGCTAGTTGGTGTTAAAAAAAATAGGATGAAATAAAGATTTAATGAATAACTTGGAAAATAGGATAAAAAATAAACAAAGCTTTCGAAATAATAAATTTAAACAAAAAGTTTTCCAGCCAGCACAAACCGTCTACTAAACGTCTATTTCACTACTCATTTGTCTATAGACGTCTAAGACAGATTTAAAACATGTACAAAACATCTTAATTAAAGATGTTTTAGACGCGTTCGCTGGTAAACGTCTTAAAGATGTATTAATTCTTGCGTCTTAAAAAATCACACTTACTACGTCATTAAGTCGTCTAAAATTTAGACGTGTTGAACTTAATCATTAGTTCCAATTAGCTTTCATTCATATTTAAATAAGCGTGAATAAAACGGAAGCCAATTTTTTAAAAGGAAAAGTTTTTGTAAGTGAAATAATAAAAGAAATAATTAATGTAAAAAAATTACAAGGAAAAATCATTTCAGATAACACAGAACTCAAATCAAAAAGCGTAGACATTACGGATAGAAATAGACGAAATAACTTACGAATTGATGGACTCATTGAAGGTGCAGATGAAAAAGATTGGGAAGACACTGAAAATAAAGTCAAAAAACTCTTTGTTGAAAATCTTGAAATTGCAATTGATATTAGGATTGAACGTGCTCATCGAGTTGGTAATGGTGGTTCTAAACGAGTGCCAACGATTGTGCTAAAGTTGCATGACTTTGAAGATGAAGAGATAATTATGGATAAAGCGAACAAACTGAACGGTACTAATATATATATTAATGAGGATTTTAGAGGAGAATTCGTAAAGAACTATTTGCACAAGCAAAAACTCATAGCCAAAATGACTATTATGCAAAAGTTCTATATAATAAATTAATAGTTCACGAATTTAAGCAAAAAAATATAGATGTAGTTGAAATTTCGCCGACTATTTAAAAATAAGCAATTTTATTTATATGAGTTCTTGAATAAGCTCTTGACTTATCTTTTATTTTTAATTTATAAAAATGGCTAAAAAGTTTTTTTGCTAATAAAGATTTTAAAAATTTAAATTTTGATCCTTTTGAGGATTTTTTTAACTTTTCTGAAGATAATTTAAATATTATTAAAGAAACTGAAATGAACTTAAAGAATACATCATATTTTGATCCTTATAATTTTAAAATTAAAAAAAGTATTAATTCTTTTTCTATATTACATTTAAACATAAGAAGCATGCGTCAAAACATTTTAAAAAATTTAAAGTATTTTTAAATATTATAAACTACACGTTCGACGTCATAGCTGTGACAGAGACTTGGCATGAAACAGATAGTCCGATTGAATGAAATTCTAATTATAGCTAGCCAAATTACAAAGTAATTAGCCAACCACGAGGAAGTTATAAAAAAGGTGGAGGACTAAGATTTTAAATACTTGAAAAATATATATTTAAGATAAAAAAACAATTATGCTTAGCAAATGAAAACTATGAAAGTCTTTTTATTAAAATAATTAATAACAAAAATAAAAATACTATAATTGGGTGTGTTTACCGTCCACCATGTAGAGAAATCAGATTGTTTCAAAATTTTATTAAAAAGAGTGTTTTGAAAACAAATAAAGATAAAAAACAATTATGTATATCCGGTGATATAAATTTAAACGCGCTGAATTACCACAACTTTCCAAAATCGTTTTTTGAAATGTTGTTTAAGCTTTTAGTATTTTTTTAGCTAAATTTTTTGCGATATTCGACGAAACTTGTCCATATAAAGAAATACAAATTAAAACAAAAGCACCTAATAATTCTTGGATGATTAAAACACTTTTAAAGTGTTCTAAAAAAAAACAAAAACTATACAACAAATTTAAAAAAAATAAAAGTACAGAGAATGAGAAAATATACAAAAACTCTAAGTGTTTTTATGAACATCTTCTTAAAAAAACAAAAAAAAATGTATTATAGTAAACAGATTAGCAATTTCAAGTTTGATGTTAAAAAACATGGTCATTAATTAATGACATATAGGGCCGAAGTCAAATAAAAAGGTTCAGTATTACCTCAAAGAATTAATATTAATAAATCAGATATACTTTGTCTTTATAAAATATCAAACGAGTTTAATAAATACTTTACAAATGTTGGGATTAGTCTCTCAAACAAAATTATACCAACTTCTACGTCATTTAAGACATATCTAAAAAAAATCAACTGATGAAACAATGTATGATAGTGATTTAACTTTTCTTGAATTTGACGCAGCTTATTTTTCTTAAAAAAAAAATAAATCTCCAGGGTTTGATGAAATTCCCAGTAATATCCTTATATCTAACAAAAAAAGCATTACAAAGCCTTTGTTCCACATAGTAAACCTATATTTAGATCAATGAGCATTTCCTGATATACTTAAACTTGCGAGAGTATACCCAATTTATAAAAACAACGATCGCGCCGACGTATTAAACTATAGACCCATATCGGTACTTTCTGTTTTCTCACAAATCTTCGAACGTGTAGTTTATAATAGGATATTTGATTATTTTACAAAAAATAAGTTTTTTAATCTAAAACAATTCGGATTTCAAAAAAAAAACATTCAACAGAACATGCCATTAATGAATTAGTCGACCAAATAACTGATGGTTTTGAAAATGATAAGTTTACTTTCGGAGTATTCATAGATTTATTCAAGGCATTCGATACCGTTGATCACTTTATTCTGTTAGAAAAACTATAATGGTACGGGGTATGCAATAAATTATATCATTGGATAAAAAGTTATCTATCTAATAGAAAACAATATGTTCAAAACAAGAAATCTGGAATACTGAATAATCTGTGCTCAAGGATCTCAAGGATCTCAACTCAAGGATCGATCCTAGGACCGCTCTTATTTTTAATTTATGTTAATGATTTTAATAATGCATCATTAAAACCAAATGCTATCATGTTTGCAGACAATACAAATCTATTTTTATCTAACTGCAATATTAATCAACTTTATGCTGAAATGAACATTGAATTAGAAAAAGCAAATGATTGGTTCAGGTCAAATAAACTTTCTCTTAACGTTGAAAAACACAATATACCTTGTTTTATAAAAAAACACCAGAAGAAAACCTTCCTCTAAAACTTCCAAAACTTATTATAAATTATAAACAAATTAAAAAACAAGATACTATAAAGTTTTTAGGAGTTATTGTGGATGATCATTTATCATGGCTCCCACACATAAAATATATATAATCAAAAATTAGTAGAACCATTAGTATTATGTATCGAACTCGCCCATACTTAAATTCACATAGTCTAAAGCTTATATACTTCAGCTTAATTCATTGTTACATTACTTATGTAAATATTACGTGAGCAAGTTGTCCACCAACAAAACTTAAAAAAATTCTTTCCTTACAAAAACATGCTTGTAGAATTATATACAACAAAAAAAGAGGGGACCACACTAACCCTTTAATGATGGATATGAAAATGATAAACATATATCAGATAAATATTTTGCAACACCTAAACTTTATGTATAAATATACCAAAAATCTAACTCCTGAAATCTTCATAAGTAAATTTAATAAAAATTTAAATGAGAAGTATTTCTTAATAATAAATCAAAGTAACATATAAATTACTTAAAAAAGTAAACAAATACACAGAATATAGTTTAACTTATAGAGGTCCCAAGCTATGGAACTCTTTTCTGAAAGACAATTTAAATATGGCAAAATCTTTAAATTCATTTCAGTTT